CTGCAGCAGAAGGGTCAGAATCCAGTGAAGTACAGAAGAAGACTATGGATGAACTAAAGCTGAAGGACTTGAAGACGAAGAACTATTTGTTTCAAGCCATAGATCGATCAATATTGGAGACTATCCTGAAGAAGGATACTGCGAAAGATATATGGGACTCCTTGAAGCAAAAGTATCAAGGAACTGCACGTGTAAAACGTGCTCAGTTGCAGGCTCTGCGCAAGGAGTTTGAGGTACTCCATATGAAGAATGGAGAAACAGTCACTGATTATTTTGGGAGAACACTAGCCATAGCAAACAAGATGAGGACTCATGGGGAGAAGATGGATGATGTGGTAATCATAGAGAAAATTTTGAGATCCATGATTTCAAAATTTGATTATGTGGTTTGTTCCATCGAAGAATCTAACGATCTGGACACCTTATCCATTGATGAGCTTCAAAGCAGTCTACTGGTCCACGAGCAAAGGATCAGCCGACATATGGTAGATGAACAGGCTCTCCAAGTCACTCATGGAGTCCAACAAGGAGGGCGAGGACGAGGAACCTTTCGAGGAAGAGGAAGAGGACGGGGTAGAGGGTTTGACAAGTCAACCCTAGAATGCTATAATTGCCATGCACTAGGGCATTTTCAGTGGGAGTGCCCTAAGAAATCCAAGGAAGAGAAAGCAAACTTTGTGGAGACAGAAGAAGAGATGCTACTGATGGCACTCGTGGATATCAAAGAGACAACAATGGAGCATATTTGGTTTCTGGATTCCGGGTGCAGCAACCATATGTGTGGCAAGAAGGACCTGTTTTGTGAGCTTGATGAGAGTTTCAGAGAATCAGTTAAGTTGGGAAATGATTCAAGTTTGACCGTGCAAGGCAAGGGAAGCGTGCGAATGGAGGTGAATGGCATCATACATGTGATCACAAATGTTTTCTATGTGCCAGATTTGAGAAACAACTTGTTGAGCATTGGTCAGTTGCAAGAGAAGAGACTTACAGTTCTCATTCAACATGGAAAATGCAAGATCTTTCACGCTGAGAGAGGATTAATTATAGAAACCACGATGAGTCACAATCGAATGTTTGCAGTGTTGACTCGCTGCTCTCCAAAGGAACAAAAGTGTTTCTCCTCTCTCACCACAGATCCAGCAAACCTATGGCACCATCGCTTTGGGCATCTCAGTTGGAACGGGCTGAAAGTACTACAACAGAAGAACATGGTGAGAGGATTGCCTCAGTTCATAGCCTCTCAAAGGGTGTGTGAAGATTGCTTGGTAGGAAGGCAACATCGAGATCCATTTCCCAAAGAAAGCCTATGGAGAGCCTCCGAGATCCTCCAACTGATCCATGCAGACATATGCGGGCCAATAAACCCTACTTCAAACAGCAATAAGAGGTACCTTATTACGTTTATTGATGATTTCAGCAGAAAAACATGGGTTTATTTTTTGGTAGAAAAGTCAGAAGCCTTTGGCGTATTCAAATCCTACAAGGCACGGGTTGAAAAAGAGACTGGAGCATTTATAAAAGGTCTGAGGACAGATCGAGGAGGAGAATTCAACTCACATGAGTTTGCAAACTTCTGTCTTGAGAATGGAATTCACAGGCAACTAACTGCAGCCTATACTCCCCAACAGAACGGGGTTGCAGAAAGGAAGAATCGCACCATCATGAACATGGTGCGAAGCATGCTGTCAGCAAAACAAATTCCTAAAACTTTCTGGCCTGAAGCAGTGAATTGGACGGTGCATGTGTTGAATCGATGCCCTACCCTTGCTGTAAAGAACAAAACACCAGAGGAGGCTTGGAATGGACACAAACCATCTGTGGATCACTTCAGGATTTTTGGTTGCATTGCACATGCTCATGTTCCTGACAATAGAAGGGTAAAGCTCGATGCCAAAAGCTGTAAGTGTATCTTGCTTGGGGTGAGTGAAGAATCTAAAGCATATCGACTGTATGAACCTGTTTCTCAGAAAATAATTATTAGTCGAGATGTTGTGTTTGAAGAGGATCAACAGTGGAAATGGGGAGACAGTCACAAGGAAGCCATAGTGACAGAACTTGAATGGGACACTGATGAAGAGAATAACTCATCAAGGGAGGAGAATGACCCCGAGTCTGATGAAGATGAAGCTGTGGGAGAAACTGAACCTGATTCGGGGTCCAGTGACTCATTGGTTGAACAGGACATGCAAAGTAATGAGAGTTCACCCCACGAGGGACGAACTCGAAGACCAGTGTGGATGAGAGATTATGAGACGGGTCAAGGCTTATCTGATGAGGAGGGTGCTAGCATGGCTCACTTGGCGTTGTGTATTACACAAGATCCCACTACCTTTGAAGATGCAGTGAAGTCTGAGAAGTGGAGACATTCCATGGATCAAGAAATACAGGCCATAGAGAAAAACAATACGTGGGAATTGGTAGAGCTACCACCAGGAGGGAAAACTATTGGAGTGAAGTGGGTGTTTAAGACAAAGCTGAACGAGAATGGCAAAGTGGACAAGTACAAAGCTCGTTTGGTTGCCAAGGGCTACTGTCAACAGTATGGAATTGACTATACAGAGGTGTTTGCACCAGTAGCACGTCTAGATACCATTCGAATTGTCATCTCTCTCGCTACACAAAGGAATTGGGTGATATACCAGCTTGATGTTAAATCTGCATTTCTGCATGGGGAGATTGATGAAGAGGTGTTTGTTGATCAGCCACCGGGATATGAACAGAAGGGCCAAGAGTCAAAGGTGTATCGACTCAAGAAGGCTTTATATGGACTGAAACAGGCCCCCCCGAGCCTGGTACAGTCGTATAGAGTCATATTTCATAAAGGAAGGATTCAACAAGTGTCCTTATGAGCATACTTTGTTCATAAAGTCAGCAGAAGGAGGTAAGATTTTAATAGTATGTCTCTATGTTGATGATCTCATCTTTACTGGAAATGATTATGCAATGTTTGAACAATTTAAAAAATCGATGATGGAGGAATTCGACATGACCGATCTTGGCAAAATGAGATATTTTCTTGGTATTGAAGTAAATCAAAGTTCTGGAGGGATCTTCATCAGTCAACGGAAATATGCTCAGGAAGTCTTAGAACGATTCAACATGGATCAATGTAACCCAGTACTAAATCCTGTGGTTCCCGGCTTTAAACTCACGAAGGATGAGGGAGGTATTGAGGTGGACAGCACTGTCTATAAGCAGATGGTGGGAAGTCTCATGTACCTAACAGCTACACGACCTGATCTAATGTTTATTGTAAGTTTGATAAGTCGATACATGGAACGACCAACTGAGTCTCATATGCAGGCAGTAAAAAGAGCTCTGAGATATGTGAAAGGGACTGTTGATTTAGGGATATTCTACAAAAAGGAAGGAACTGAAGGGCTTACTGGATATACCGATAGTGATTATGCAGGTGATCAAGACGATAGAAAGAGCACTTCAGGTTATGTGTTTATAATAAGCTCAGGGGCTGTTTCTTGGTCCTCAAAGAAACAGCCAGTTGTAACCTTATCCACGACAGAAGCAGAATTCATAGCTGCAGCTTCGAGCGCTTGTCAAGTTGTATGGTTAAGAAGAATTCTTAACAGTCTTGGTCAGGAACAAAATGGTCCCAGCCTAGTGTATTGTGATAATATCTCAACAATCAAACTTTCAAGGAATCCTGTGATGCACGGTCGTAGTAAGCATATTGATGTAAGGTTTCATTTTCTTCGAGACTTAGTTAAAAGTGAAGTTCTGGAGCTGGTACAGTGTTCAACTCTAGAACAAATTGCAGATATTTTCACAAAACCTTTGAAGGGTGATGTTTTCTTGAAGTTGCGAGGATTACTGGGCATCTGCAAGTTTTCAGAAGTAAACTGAATGTTTGAAGTATTCAGTTTAAGGGAGGATGTTAAAGTTATTAGGGTTTTCTGTTATCGCTAGGGTTTTTCTGTTAGTGCTAGGGTTCCTAGCTTTTAGGGTTGTTATTCAATAATCCCTATACTTAAGGGACAAGTATGCATTTTCTGTTTTGACATAGTCTTTACCACGATTCTAGGAGCTGTAAAATCGTGGGCAGCTGTTATCCTTTTTCAGTTTCATTGTAAGGCTATTTAACAGCCACAAGTGTTATTCAATCTAATAAGAATTCTCCCTGAATTGTGAAAGCTCTCTAATGTTGCATTGCTGAAACTCGTGTGGTTGTTCTTTGGTTCTAACAAACCGTGACCATACAAACAGGAAGGGTTGAGAAGAGTATGGAAATGAAAGGGCAGACAATCCACCTCCAAAATAATAGGGTTAGAACCACGCTCACAGCCTTGTTCCACACCGCTTGTGTCACAATCAACAAACTCTTGCTCGGACAAAGCCATCAATGTGCCATTGTAAGCTTAGTAATTCCGTCCATGGCTGCCACTGCTGAAAAAGTCCAACAACATCCTGCAAGCATTTTATTACAATTAAATATCATGTTGTTTTTGTGGTATAAATTAAATAGTGGTTAATTTGATGGACATAGATTCGTATTTAGAGTACAAGAAACCATTTGGTTAAGTTCCTAGATTGTCTACAAATAAAATTGATTACCACATTGGCCTTGGTCCTTGATTGGTGTCACGGCCCCTTTCCTTCTCCAATCGACAGTTGGCGGTGTTGTAGCATTTTCATATGGGGTGTGGTATCCATACACCATTTTTTATTTCTCACACACCCTTTTAATTTTCGGTCGTCAAATCGAATGAATTAAAGAATAACCAAGAATAAAAATTAATAGGAATGTGTAAGAAGTTAAAAAAAAAAAAAAAAAAAAAAAAAAAAGTGTAGATAGCACATTCTTTTTCATATTTGAAAGAAGTCTTTGTGGAACAATCGTGCCCCACGAATCCATTTCTGGAGGCATTGAAGTCTTCATTTGTAAGGTCTGCAAATTGATTGAACCAATTTATCCCTTGAAATGTTTCGGTAACTAGCGTCGCAGTATCATTAACATTTGAATCCATTCCCCCGTCCATTTCTAGTGATCGAACAACATTTCTATGCTCTGAGAAATTATATCTATCATAATTTGTAGACTGTCGCTGTTCAACATTGCAAAATATACATAGAAATTATGGGACGAAAGATGAGTCTTCCTAACACAACACACCCTTAAGTTACGCGAATTAAAAGAACCACCATGATAAATACAAATGTCATGACAAACATCAGAAGCCATGTGAAACAAGTAGTCTTGGACGCCTTTGAGTATATACCTGCTGCCCGTGTAGTGGCGTGACGGGTGCTTGCCAAGCTACTTTCAACAGCCTTCTCTGTAGAATCAAGTATCTGCACACAAGCCATATAACTAAGTTATGAGATCAACATACATGTCATTCCATCAGCACTCCATTTACATCTAATACACACCAAAGAATAAACAGATAAAAGTATTTTTATGTAACAAACGATGTTGCATTATTGCCAAGCTACTTTAAACGATGTTGCACTCCATTTAAATCAGTTCTGTTACCACTTACCACTTAAATTCCTCGGCAGGTTTTTTTTTTTATTTATTTTATTTTATTTTTTAATTTTTAGCCCCCTTCTCTTAGGAACTCATTACAGTCCCAACATTCGTTTCTTTGTTTAACATTTTCCTTTTCAAGAATTTCTCCTAATCTCACACCCTCTAAATCCAAAGCAATATTCACCAAAACTTCCCTTCAGTGTCGCCCTAAACAAATCAAACCACAGCCAGCTAAATCCAAAAAGTATTGACTCTATAGACTTTACAACATCCTGCAATAGATATCTCAGGGTGCTTACTTTTTCAGTGTTTTCCAGGGAGTGACTCATCATGAGACTACTCTCTTTGAGCTGTCTAGCCAATCCAACCATTTCGTCTGTCAAATCCTCTTGAAGCTTTCTGTAAACAAGAGAGAAAAGTTTATAAGAATCGAAAACATAATGTGGAAAGGAAATGTAATTAGCATTTGAAAGTCTTAATGGCTGAATTGTGTGTTCTACCTTATGGACATCAATTGACTTGGGATTGAGGAAATTTCCTCTCTAACAGTAACTGTATCTACGCTGATGGGTTATCTGGTTCAAGGTCACGTTATTCGAGCTACCATCTGTTGGCAATGGTGTACAAACATGCAGAGGGATTTTAGAATCGCTGCATATGGCAGGAAAGCATGGGTTGGCCTTGGACTAGGGTTGCTACAATTTGGATGGTCCTCCTAGTTCCTTAAGCACTCTGAATAACAGAGAGGCTGGGGTCTGTAGGCCAATATTTATCTTTGGGTAGCGTCTTGTCTTTGTTACCATCAAAGTAAAGCAAGAAATTGTACAGAAAGAAGGAACACATCCCAAAGTTGCCTGACTATTGTTCTAAATTTATCTGATGTCCCAAGCGAGCATCCGTGTCATTTCTATTTGTACATGTGCATTTTTTTAAGCAAAAATCAACTTCTATTTTTACTATAACAAAAGTTTCATACTGAAAACACATATAACTACATCGCTGTGTTAATTAATGACTAACATCCTAGAACTCCCGTTTTCAATTTCATCCAGTCTCATAACTGCAGTTTAATAGAAAAAATTGAGATACTATGAATATACCTATGCTTTTCAATGTGTGCTTGGGCTGCTGCGTCCAGTTTGACAGGCCCTGAAGAATCAACACCAGCAGTCTCGCGAGTTCCATCTTCAGTATTTGAGATAGGCCTGTTTAACAAAAACACAGTTAAAATAAATCAAGTCATTGCAGACAAAATATCACTAAGAAGGAGCTGAAACCATAGTGATCCCAACTATCATTCACTTACACAAATCTCCTTCTCAAACCTGGAGAAGGGGGAATCTGATTGTCTCCTGTATCAGAAGAGTTTGCTTTGACAGAAATTCTTGCAAGGGGCACTTCGGGTGTTTGAATATCAGGCTGGGAATTGGTGAAAGAAATCACAATTAGGAGCAAGGAACTCCATATATTGCACATATATACATTACATTCTTCAACCAAAAAACAAACAATACATTACATTCTAAAGAAATATTTGCTTGCCAAATGGTTAATCAGGTAAACTCGTGCTTTCATATATGATGCCAGATTCACAATATTTGATATACCATGTCAGATATCTATCAATAGAACATTATCCATATATTACAGATTCAGTCTTGAGATGCCATGAACTGACACAACAAATTACATGTAGCATGAAATGGTGTGGACAGCTATAAAAACTATCTCTAGGAATTGTTCCCCGCATAAGAACTAAAAACTGTCCAACCATCCATCACAGCTCAAAAAAATAAAAACCTGTAATATTTTAGTTGTCATGTCAACCAGTCTCCCAAGCAATTAGTTTCAGCCTAACAATATTTTGTTTCTCATACCTTATCATTATAATTTCCCGGCCTTCAAACTAAATCTACTATTAGTAAAATTGATTCGAATCGTAGAAATTCACAGAACATTGTAAATTAAAGTACACATTTTGCCAATGTAACTGGTTTAAAGTACATAAAACCAACACTTCAACAAAAGGCAACGTGTATGCTTTCTAGATCATATGCACTCACTGGTGGAGCAGCTAATTTGGAAGCAATGGCTTCAATCTTCTCTGAATAGTCACTCAAAACAGCCTTTGAAACTCTGGGTATAAAATCGAAGATAATGATATCAATTAGTAAACTAAGAATGTTGCAAACTCTTAAGTAGGGCAGAGTCTCAAGAAAATACATAGAAATAGAGACGATGAAAATGTTGATCTGTGTAGCCACCATTAGTACCCAGTATCAAGAAAATAGTGTTTGGAATGTGAATCAATATTTCCATCACACCTACCAAAATCTGTAAAGGTTTGTAAGGTAAAGGAAAGGAAGCGTATTGGAACATGCATCGAACTATTGGACAAATAATCGTTAAAAAAAAAAGTAATCAAGGGAGAAAATAAAACACATACTTCAACAAAAAAAACATAAATAAAAATAAAACACATACTGACCTGGGTAAGCCTTCTGGAGTTCTCTCTTCAGCTAGTTGTTCTACCAGTTCTCGTAAAGTAGCAACATACTGCAAAGTAGTGGTACTTAGTCATCCATAAATGGCACACATCTCCAAAGAAAAAACAAACAAAAAAACCTAGAACTGTAAATATCATGCCGAGAAACCGGAAATAGTTGGCACAAAGCAATTACCTGCAAATGGATAAAACTTTGTAACCTATAATTCTAATAACAACATACATGAACAAGTTTTGCCTGGTTCTGTTGCTGAGGCGCAGCTGCAAGCAGCCTCTTCAAATTCACCTCTGTTTTACTGATTCTCATCCCAAAATCCTACACCATTTAACAAACATAAAACAACAAACAATTCAACACTCAACCAACAACCATGAAACCATCACTTTTTTTGTAAATGATCTCTATGCTTTGTTTTTTTTATCTAAACATCGTCAATTTGATATTGATCAGTTCAACAATTGGTATTTGTAAAGTGATCATTTCATCAATTTCCCAAAAAATTAACCCAAACCTTAAAAAAAGAAAATCCATAACCCAATTCTGCACAGGTCATACGTACGAGTAATCAAGATGCAAGAGTTCCCTATTCAAGATACACAACTCCTAATTCTAGCGCTCCTAATCTTGCACAAGCAGAAAGTACACAAACCATGGCATAGCAATCGGGTTTCAAATTCCCCTTCAGGCAGTGGAGATGTACATTCGCATAAAGAACCTTTCAGATAAGCTGACACAGAGCTTTAACAATTACACCAAATCTCGATAGAGATATCTAGATTATGCAGGTACCTTTCTACCATAATAAGTGAAGAGATTAAATCTTTAAAAGAGAAGAACCACACAATAAAAAACCCTTTAATGTACCCACAAATCACGGCAGTCCAAGAAACAACATTTTTCTCCGGCATTTCATCAAATATCTTATGTGCATGTTCCAAATACCCACATTTCGCCACAAGGATATGAATGAAGTCCGATCGCCTCGCACACGCTTTCAGATGCAGAAGCACCTCCTTGTCAGGATTCATCAGATGCACAGCCAATGGTTACAAACCCTTAAATCAAAACCTCCCTTTTTTTCTAATTGACAACCCCTTCCTCACCCATCAGATTCTTCTAATTGACAACAATAGTTACAATGGACGGACGGGATTCCATCCAATCTTAGTCGTTGGTTTTAGGTTTCCTCATCCACGAGTCCACGACCTATCTGACTGATTCGATTCGACTTCGACTGTCTCACTCTGTCACTCAAGTCTCTCTCGCCGTCTCGGACCCTTCCCTCCACCACCCCGACATCATGACGGCCCTGGCGACCACCACGACGGCCCAGCAACTTCGACGACATCCTAGACTTACAGTTACAGAACCCAGTCACCCCACCACCCATCTTCTCGATTTGTCATCTCTGCGTATATAATTGATCTGTTACCGCCAGTCCGGATAAGAAGGTAAAACGTAATGTTTGATTTTTGGGTGATTTTGGGGTTTGATTGAATTGATTTGTAGGGTTTGTTAAATTGGGATTTTACTGATTAAGATGAATGTATGCGTTTGGTGAAATTTGTATGGATCATGGCAAATGAATAATTCCCCCGTAACTAGTTAAAGAGTGAAACTTCATCATGATCATGGATTTTTCCAGTTTTATTATATGTAATGACGACTATTTCAGTAGGAACTATATAATTTAATTTTCTGTTAGCAGGACAATGGTAAGGCCTTTTTGTACTCATTATTAGTCCCCAACCATTTTCTGTGTTTGAATCTTCAGATTTATGAATGCCCTTCGCTATTTGCTCGATTGGAAGTGCTCAATATCTCTGAAAATCCTCTCACTGATAGATGTGTATATTGCCTCTCCATTATCTTGGGAAATTGCTAGGGTAAAGTGCTTTCTGTGAAGCTCAAGCATTTAAACTTTTCCTGCTCCTTATTGATGTGTGGTAGCGTATATGCTTCTTGGTAAATCTAGTTCTTTTAATGGTATTTGTTCAAAGTAACACTAAATCATCCCTGCTTATATGGACTTTGCTTTGTAGCTCTTTGCAGCTTGAGCATAGAGCGCTGTTCTGTCACGTCTACAACAATTGAAAAGGTTGCCGATGCATTGAATGCTGATTATGTGCTTGAGCAACTTTGAATAGGTATGCTTGACATATGGTAATTGCAATACACATTAGTGGTTGGACTATTTTGTATGTTGATTTGATCTTTAGATGTCTCCCAGATGTTATTTTGAATGTCTCGGATTTAATGTATCCTACGATGCTGGACGATGTAACGTTGTTAATTTGGATGTAATGTTAATTTATGAACTTGGATGTGGGACTTTGTATTTGGATTGGATGTGAATCATTGCAAGGACTAGGGAGTGAATTTGTGAAAAATATGCACAAATGCAATCTACACTAGTACTGGTAGTGAATCTGCTATTTTGTGCAAAAAAAATTTTAATTTTTTTTAATTTTTTTTAATTTTTAAATTTTTAAAATTTTTTAATTTAACAAAAGAAAAAGGACCCGTGGACTCGGCCCAAATCGGCTCGTTTCAACCGGGCCGGGTAAGGTCTAATTCCTATATTAGAAAATGTTATCCCCGACCTGGCCTGGAGCGTCTCCTTTGAACCCGGGTCCGCTTCGGTCCCTTCAAATTGTGCCCGGCCCAGCTCGTGCTCACCCCTAGGGTAAAGGGGTAGGGTTTACCTTTTAGACTAAAAGAACAACACCATTTAAGTAATGAAAATATTAATTTATAATTAATTATAAAAACTTTGGTTTGGTTCGGTTAGGTTTCCAAACCCAGAAACCAAACTGAACCAAATCAAATTTGGTTTGGTTTGGTTTAACAATTTCGTTTCAATATTTTTTCAGCTTTGGTTTAGTTCGATTTTCGGTTTTTTGAACCCACCCCTAATGGTGAGAGATGAGAGGAGAAGACGCGTCTAATTTGTGAAGAGTGTTAAAAATGTACATATCTTGAATTCACAGACAAAATAACCCTCCTAACTTTTAGTAATTACCCTCCAACCCATCTACAAATGCGATGGCAATGGTGTAAAAAAGGCAAAATCGAGTGGCAAAGGGATTGACTGTAATGATCAAAATACCCTCCTAACTTTAAATAATTACCCTCCAACTCAACACAAATGTGATGGCAATGGTGTAAAAAAGGCAAAATCGAGTGGCAAAGGTTTGACTACAGATTTGCTATAGTAAAACACTCCTCAACTTTAAAATAGAAAATATCAAACCCCATTTGGTTGACCAAGAAAATAAAATGTGATTTTATTGATTTAAAACCCAAAAATTGAGTACAAGGGATGGACAGCAATTATCCCCAAATCCCCTAATTGCCTCTCTATCAAAACCAGGTGCTTGGATTATTTACAAATCCAACTTTAAGTGGCAAAGCATGCTGAGGAAGACTTGATCAATGATGAATGTGAACAACATGTTCACCGAGACGTTGATGGCTTGTCCGGCTGATCGAATCTCGAGAGGGCATATCTCACTCGACACCAGCCACCCCATCGAACCCAAGACCATGCAAATGCCGCCACATATGCACATACCAAGAACAAGATCCAATTGGCTTGATGTTTTGTAAATGATCATTCTCCACTGAGACCAAACTTCATGGCTATCATCACTCCGATAGCAACCTGCAATGCAATTTTAATTAGATAGAAAATATACTTTAGAAATTCAGATTTAGTTGAAGAAAACAAAAGAGACATTTCCTATTATTGTTTAAATTAAGCTGGTAATAATAAATTAGTTTCATTGAATTGATCACGTCGTTAATTATGTACCTAGCATATCATCATTTGCGTACCACCTTCAGGTTGACAGGCAAGCTTAAGAGATTGAAAAGGGGCGTGAATGAAGAATTAGTGTAGGAACAACACAAAAATTCATATGATATAAACTAATGAAAGATTCACAATTCGGTTTAGTTACAAAATATGAAAAAATTTATGTTTTCATTTCGACATTATTATAATATAGAAAAAATATCCTTAAGTATCATCGTTTTCAGTCTAGCCCTCATCACGTTGATGCAGCTCCTTCATCATGTTGATATGCTGCATCACGAAATCCGGGAAAGGGTGAGGATCATCATTACATATAAAGGCAACTTTTCTTTTCCCAAGCTCCTCATCTAGTAATATAATGGATAGTGTAATGCACAAATTGTTTTAAAATCATGCAACACATTACAATTACTACAAACTTTGACGTACATGCTCACGAAACCAAGAAGGATACTTATCTTTGTGTCTTTGCTCCATGTTTAAACTACTTTCATGCTTTATTATTTCCTCATGTTCCTTGCATAACAAGTCAAATAAATATTAGAGGGAAAAAACTATTCAACGTAAATATAGAGGATGTCACCTACTCAAGGAATGGTGTCACGTCGTCACAATTGTTGAATATAAACCATTCAACCATCTTCACGTCAGCGCTAGCGAATCCAACACTTGAACTACCCATAAATGGTTTTGCAATTTCGGCAAATGCAGAAAGCTTCTCTTGTTGCGCGACACCGTCAATATTTTATTCACGTCGATTGGAAAAATTTTCAACATTACGGAGATACATTCCGCAAAAAATAAGGGATTCATTTGAAAGGTATCCCACTATAATAGATCCATTAGGACGTGCTTTGTTCCGCACATGGCATTTAAACCTTCCCAATAGTCTACAAAGAAATTAAACTGTTACAATTTTAATTTACAATCATAAGAAACAATGAGATTGAATGGGAGAATAATATTGCTACCTTTCTATTGGGTAATCTATCGAAAATTAACAAGGCCATCAAGTATCACTTTATCTGTTAAGTGGATCATGACTTGAATCATTACATCAAAGAATGCAGGGGAAATATTTGTTCAAGCCGGCACGATATCTTCTTTCAGCCTTTCAAAGTATGCCACACGCAAAAAATTTGGCACATATTTGTTGAAAAAAGCTTGATAATTGAATGATCGGTTCAATTACGTTTTTCGGCAAAAAATTTCATGGCACTTTTCAATATTCTGTTTGAAAAGTGGCATGAGATAATCATAGCATGTGTTTGACATTCGAAACATGACCTTGCTGTGCATGAACTCCACAATTTCCATTAGTAAACCTTCACACCCAAGGTACAATTCTCCTTGAGCTTGTTTAATCATCTCTCAATGGATGAAGTCGTTGAATTTCTTGTGGATGAAGATTATTATCATCCTTATCCACTTCTACATTATCATTGTTGATAGTATAATTGTATGACATTCCATATCTACCCAAATCTTGTTGAATTTCTCTCAATCTTCAATCTACAATTATTACAAGTTTGGCATGGGCACTTAGTATAACCCTTAGCGTTGACATGTTTGCTTACACTTTAAAAAAAATTCTGAAATCCCATTAAAATATTCATTAGTCACTTGATTCGGATTATGTATCCATTCCCTATCCATGGCATACAAAGTATCCACTCCCTGTTGATGTTAATAGTGGTAATACATGCACGGATGTAATAGTGAAGAGAGTAATTTGACAAGTAAAGAAATAATTCATGATAGTCAAAAGAAACAGGTCAAAAGTTTTTTAGAAAAGTTTACCTCTGCAGTTTTCTTTTACCTTTATTTATAGTTGTTAGCTTTCCTAAAGTGTAATTATAAATACCAATGTAACTTATGTTTTCAAAAGCAAATGAAATCATATTTTCTCTCCTCCTTGTGTTATCAGAACTTGAAATTGAAGAAAAATAGTGAAATTTATTATTTATGCTTGAGAGTCTCCAAGTAAGAGTACTTAGTAAAGTCATTAACAAAGATGACATAAAATCGAATACCACCAACAGTTAATAGTGGAGCTAATCCGCAGACATCAGCATGTTTCAAATGAGAAACATGCATCACATTCTTTCAATGAAAAGTTGAATGTGGTGTTTTAAATAAAGAAGAATCATACTGGGTAATAGACAGACCTTGAAAATCACTAATGTAAACCATGTCAGGGCTTTAGACTAAGGCAAATGATTATGCGAATTATTGATGTTGTCTGTTATATGAGAGCTTGCTCCAGAGTCAATAAGCCAGCACACATAGAAGCAAGTTTGGCTGGGGGAATGCAACCTTGAAAGTTTGGATTCTTACGACTGTACCAATTGATTGTAAGATGTCCAGGATCCTTACAAATTTGACAGGGAACTGTTGGACCAGGGGATCAGATTTGGTTACCGCCACAATTGTTATGATTGAATCTGTTACGATTATTAGGATTCCTCTGAAAATTGTTGTTCCTATGAAAATTACCTCGATTTGGAACATGCTGAGCATTTGAGGCCTAGGGTGGAGGCTCTCAAGGTGTATGAAGCAGCAGATGAGCATGTGAGGGCACCAGAAAATAATGAAAAGCCTGATAAGGCTTATCTGAAGAAGAATGAGCTTAATGTGCTTCCTTCGAGCAAAAGCCATCTCTTTGTTGAGCAAGAGACCATGAATTTCATCAACAGTGGTGTCTGCATGATGGAATTAACCCGATCCACTTCTTTAGTTCAATCTCGCTCTTGTATTTCTCCTCCTCCACCACCTCCCTATCCAACTACTTCTCCTCCATCTTTACTGTTTGCTGCACCTAATCCATTTCTCCTACTTCATCTTCTCATTCCCCACAACCTATCCATTCTATTCACCCCATGCAAACTAAACCAAATCGGAAATTTATAAACCAAAGGCCTTTTTTTGCTACCAAACACGCCCTGCCTTCTCATTTAGTTACAGACTTTCTGCCTTTCACATATCTCCAAGCTTCTAAGTTTTCTCATTGGAGGGCTGCCATTCAAGATGAATTTAGTTCTTTACAAAAAAACATGTACTTGGACCTTTGGTTCTAATTCATCCTTCTCAAAATCTAATTGGTTGCAAGTAGGTTTTTCGAATTAAAGATAAATCAGATGGTTATGTGGATAGAGATAAGATTCGATTGGTTGCTAAAGGCTATAATCAATAAGAAGACATTAATTATAGTGAAATCTTCAGCTCTGTAGCTAAACTTGTTATAATAAGAATTTTTCTCACTTTGTTAGTTCAAGTCAATTGGTTTTTACATCAATTGGATGTAAGCAATGCTTTTCTGCATGGTTTCTTGAATGAAAATGTTTTCATAACCCAACCTTCTAAAGTCATTGATCAGGATAAACCAACACATGTTTATCATTTGCAAAAGTCACTCTATGGTCTCAAACAGGCGCCTCAAGCATGGTTTGAAAAACTCAGGCTGCTCTAAGAACATGGGATTTCAAGCTTCTCAATCATATCACATTCTATTTGTTCTTTCTCAACCTCTCTTGGTGTTACTTCTGATTTATGTTGATGATATTATTGTCACGTACCACTGTTCTACTGCTTGTACTGCAGTTATAACTCATCTCAGTGCACAATTTCATGTTAAAGATTTAGGAGATCTTCACTATTTTCTTGAACTAGAAGTTCAATGATCCTCTTTGGCAGATTCACTCATCATACCGAATAAATCTTGAATTTATTTAAAAACACCTCTTGGTTTTGCAAAACTTGATCTTTGCGTCTCTCCACTTGATAATCCTACATAATATAGGTCTTTGTTGGGGCGCTTCGGTATCTTACATGGACACGGTCTAACTTATCATTTGGTGTAAATTTGGTTTGTCATTCATGCATTCTCATCGGGACCTCATTTTCAAGTTGTTCGGTAGATCTTAAGCTATCTCAAATGGACTATTAGTTATGGTTCATGGTTCCCTAAGGTCTCTACTCCTCTCATGCTTAAAGCTTTCTCACATGCTGATTGGGTAGGCTGCCGTGTTTTGTGCATTTTTCTAGGTCCCTCATATTATTGGAGAACCAAGAACAGCACCATAGCTCGCTCTTATGCCGAGGCCGAATATAGAGCCCTTGCTTATACTGATACTGAGCCCTTGCTCATATTGCTGCTAAAATCACTTAGGTCTATAAATTGTTTAGTGACACTGGTTTTAAATTGCCTATTTTGCTTCAAATAAATCTGTTGTGATAATGTTTCAGCTATAGAATGCTTCAAATCCAATGTTTCATGCTCACACCAAACAATTGGAATTGATTACCACTATATTCAAGAGCTAGTTCTTGCCAAGCTCTTACAATTCAATTTTCTTGTAATCAAGATCAAGTGGCTAACATTCACACCAAGTCTCTTCCCAAACCCAGATTTCTTTATTTGCGATCCAATTTTTCACTTCAACCCTTTTCGTTCAGCTTGAGATGGCGTGAAGAGAGTAATCTGAAATTGAAAAATAAGTCAGGATAGTAAAAAGAAACAACCAAAAGTTAATTAGAAAAGTCGCTACCAGAAAAATAACCATAGACCACCAATCTTATTGGTGCCTATTGGAAATAGTGGACACTGAAATCGGTGGCAAACATCAATTGCCACCATGCAGCCACTGAATTAGGGTTCGTGTCCTATATAAAGGAATCTCTTGTAACAAACACCACCATCTATACATCGGTGGCCAAATCAACAGTAGAGATATGATATTGTCATCTCTTTGTTTATAGTTATAGATGCCTTTTAGCATCGGTGGCCAAATTGCAATTTATGTTTTTAAAAAAGGGACCCGCTGAGGACCCATTTACCAATCCCATTATTTATACCACACGCTTTAGATGAAAATTTGTCATTTGACAATCCCAGGAAGTTCCACAATCTTTGCATCCATCTAACAACTTGAACATAGTCATTTCAATTACATAATCAACACATTTTTCCAGATTCACCTGCATAACGATAACACCAGGAGAGTTAACCTTAAGTTTACAAAATCAGAAAATAAGAAATAAGAACTGGAAAATTTATAATTCAACCAAAAATAGAAAATACAAACAGTATTTCAACTATTGTGTTTGTTACTCACAAATTTTGACAATATTTACAGATCCCGTTTCACAATTGATAAAGGGAAGCAATTTTATACCTTCTTAGCCTTTGATCCATGGTTGGCTGTTTGTCGATCGTGGTTCCCCTGCAAACACAGACATGCAAAGTTGATTGAATAAAACCCCCTAATTTGTCTTTTCAAAGTTGCAAACCCCTAATGATAAGTTACACACCTGACCCAGAAAGCGTTTGCAAACTCCCATAACAAAACCCTAAAATTGGAAGATAAACGTTTCCTGCAACCAAAAATGAAATCAAACAAAATATCCACATGCAAATCAGCAAAAAATAAAGAAAGCATTTAGCAAGAATCGAATTTTACAACAATCAATTAAACAAATTTATCACCAACCAAAGCACCCAAACCGTTGCGATTCCTCCACAAAAAACAGCGGGAAAAAATAGGCTAACTACCCTTCTAAAGGATCGGATCATGATGAAAACACCAAGACACACACAGAGATGCATAGAAACAGAAAGAGAGATAGAAAAACATAGAGAAGAAAAAAAGAGGAGAGCTAAAACCCGACAGCCACGCACGTGCAACACACATGACCAAGGGCAAAATTAGCACCAATGCACAAACTTCAACACTGAAAATTGCAAGTTGCCATCGAAAAGAAAGGTAAAAAAAAAGGGAGAAACTTGAAATAGGTCCAATTTTATAGCCCAACATTAGAATTAGTCTAATTTTTAGTTACTTTTGACTTAGCTCCAATGACTAGGATTCCATGTCAGCATTTTTCTAATTAAGTTGATTTTTTTGCATTATTATTACTATTTTACCCTCTTATGACTTTTGCACGTTCTCCATATATTTCCCACGTTTTAAATTTTTATCAGAATTCAAATTCGTTGTTCAGTTCATCTTTCTCCCTGATTTCTTGGTAACAATTTTTGAATTTGAATTTCTTATCAATCTATTTTTAAGGAAGGCTTAATCACTTTTAACTTTCTATACAAATTACATGTGTTTTATACCTGCAGATTTCTTCAGAGACCTATTCTCCAGATACAATTTTTATGATCGTGTTTTTCCTTCGTGGTTTGGCGATACTCAACCTTCTCCATCTATCAAAGGACTAAAACAAAGCAAATTGAATGCCACAACCGGAAATCTATTGGGGAAGAAACACGCCCAACAAGTGCTATAGGTGTAATAGAGTGCCAATTATTTTCAAGTCAAGTATATTATAATTGTTTTCTCCTTTATTGTTGTTTGTTGTGCGAATTCAAAACATGAAGACTTTATCCTAATCCCCCTCATCCCTTTCTATCATCTCTCATTGATATGCTTATTTCTCTTTTTATTCAAAAAAACCAATGCACATAAGGTGTTTGATGTTATGCCTCTTTGAAAATTCAACAAACAAAGTAATATACCTGTACAATATCCTACAAGCCAACACGGATTAGAAGCACAGTAGCCTTGTGTTTTCACTGCAGAATTCAATTCATCCAAAATATCCTACAAGCCAAAACGGTTTAGAAGCACAATAGCCAAAATGTAATATACCTGTACAACTAATTATGATATGTATATATGCTAAGTTCCTAACATTATATGAAATAGCTAATTATGATATGTACAATTATCAGTATGCTGAAATAGCTATTACATTTATGTTTTTTTCCTGTGTTTTATAATTGTTTAGTTATGGAAGGAGCTATCATTGCGAATTGCACTTTTGAGAGCAAGACTCTTTTAATTCTAGTGTCTAATCATACTAAGTTCAAGGATATTGTTGAACAAATTTGTTCCTGATTTGTGCGATTAAGTCTTGAAGTCATGGAGTTGACGTACTCTCTAGGAGAACACCAATCTTGTTTACTGCAATCTAACATGGATGTGAGTGTAATGAAATTTTCATGTTGTGCTGAAAATATGAAATCTATTCCTGTCAGTGTTTCCATGGTTGAACCAGTTAAGAAACTTAATCCCATTTCTTCCCCACATGATAAGCAGATTTTTACATATGAAGGCTTAAAACCCTCAGATGATCGTGTAGATTTAGGGAAATTTTCCACTCCTCATGGGAAGACATATTTGTCCCATGCTTGGAGAAACTACATTAGCCATGTTGGTCAAGAATTTCCAGGTGGTGTCAAGGAGTTTAGACAAAGATTGATGAAGTATGCAGTTGAAAAGGGTTTCAGGTATGTTTATGTAAGAAATGATAGTGAACGTGTTACTACTGAATGCTTCAATAAAGATGATGAGGGTTGTGTTTGGCTTGTGCATGCCATTTTGAATCGTCCTAGCAGGTTATTCTACATTAAAAGTCTAAATAATGTACATACATGTAAAGCTAGGTTTCATGATAAAAAAAGCATCAAGATGGGTTCCAAAATTGTGGCGTCGGTCCTTGTTGATGAGATTCGAACCAATCCAATTGTAAGATCAATCGATGTTGTTAGAGATTTCAAGAAAAACTATGGTATAGCTTTTTCTTACTATAATGCTTGGTATGGTATAGAGTTAGCAATGATGAAGGTCCATGGTGATGATACACAGTCATATAGACAACTATTATGGTATGCAGAAGCAGTGCTAGCAACCAACCCAGGCTCTCATGTCCAACTTGATTATAATGATAGTTCATGTCGGTTCGAGCGTTTATTCATTTCATATAATGCTAGTATTGAAGGGTTCAAATTCTGCAGACCTTTCTTGTGCCTCAATGGAACTTTTATAAAAAACAAGTATGAAGTTCATTTGTTGGTAGCCATTGGGAAAAATGGTAATCAAGGTATGATTTAGACATGTACTTATATTATAGGCTGCATGAAAGCTAATAATTTTTTTTCCACATTGATAGGTAGTTTAAATGTTTATCCATGTTGTTGACAAAATTGATCATTTTGTTAATTTTTCTCCATGTTAAGTAGTTTAATAGGGTCTCAAACAGTAATATATGAGAAAGTATTGTTTTATAACTTTATACATGTTGTGTCCATCCTTTATTATAACTTGTTCTTATGTATTCATCCTTAACAGATTTTTCTCTAACATGTTCTTCTTCCTCAACACATCATGATTTTTCCCACTAGCTTTTGGCATTATGGACTCTGAAAACGAAAACAATTGGACATGGTTTCTGGAAAATTTAGTAGAGTTATTACTTCCCCAAGGTCGTACGGTTACATTCATATCAGGCCACAACAGAGGTTTACTTGAAGCTGTTTCCAGCGTTTTTCCAGAAGCACCACATGCATTCTGCATGTTTCATTTGAAATTGAATATACAAAGTAAATATCCAAAGCAGATGGGTTCTGGTTATGGTGAAGTCATTGCTAACATGTTCCAAAAAATGTTGTTACGTTCCATCCCAACTTGTGTTCGATCAGGAAATGAAAACTCTCATCAAGGATGGTGGTACAATAATTCAGAAATTTTTGCAAAACACCCAAAGAAAACTGGTCCAATGCCTACTTCAGGGGAAAAAAAATATGGTGAGATGTGCTATAATATTGCAGAATCCTTCAATTTTTGGATTTTGGATGAATGCAAGATGCCAACTTACCAAATGATTGATTGATAACATATGTGTGAAGTTGATGGAGATAAGTTCTGATAGGCAACATGAAGCCGAAAGATGGACCTCACCAATTTGCCCAACAATGGATGACGAAATGATGAAAATGGTTGAAGTTGGAAGACATTGGAATGTGTGTCGTTCAAGTGAACATATTTTTGAAGTCAGAGATGAGTATTCTGTCATGGTGGACTTACAAAGTCATACTTGTTCTTGTTATCAGTGGCAAATCAAAGGGTTCCCTAGTGCACATGCTTTGGTAGCTATTTTGAAAGATGGAGGTAACCCATATGATTATGTCGAAGATTATTTCACAACAGATTTCTATAAGTCTTCTTATTCATATCCCATCATTCTTGTACCTGATATTGAAAAGGATGAACAATCTATGAGTCAGGAGTTTGTGATAGAACCCCCATTGACAAAGAGGCCCCCAGGTAGACCAAAAGTTAAAAGACTAAAATCTATTGGGGAAGAAACACGCCCCAACAAGTGCAGTAGGTGTGGTGATGCTACACGCCACAACTGGAAAACTTACAACGCCTCTATTTGACATACATCTCCATTGCCATTTGGATTTTTTTTTTTTCAAATATATGGACACATGCTTTTTTTTTTTTTTTATCAATGTAATAAAATGATGCCTTAGACTTTTTAGTTTACTCATATTCTTCTTTTTTCCAGTATCTACTTACATGTCATATGGCTTATGCAAGCTGTGAAGACTAAATTTTTATTATGATATCATTACTAAACCTTTCAAATCAAACCTATATGTAACAAGCAGCCATAAGATGGAAAATTTTATCCTACCTATCAATTTGGCTTACAATATAAACTACCTATCCTGTATAGTATGATTTTTCAAGACACAATTAGTTGTACAGGTATATTACTTTTTGGGACGGTTTTAAACTACCTAACATATGTAGGAAAATTATCGACAACCATTTTTTATCAACAATTTGAAAGTACCTCTCATTGTACAATTCGAAAGTACACCAGACGAACTATGTCTAGATAATGACAAAATAACATTATCTGAGATTTCAAACAAATCTTATTGTGCAATCAATAAAGGAAAACATGAAGAATATCCCCTTTCAATTGAAATTGAAATTAAAAAACAGATATGACAAAGCATATCTCAGTTCACATAACATCCAAACTTATCTAGTAGAAAATGAATTCGGATGGATTGGAGTCCCATCATTTATTAAATTGAAACATTTAAATGAAACAAAAACTCAAATTTCGCATAACATCTTTATCCTACTCTTCCTTTTCCCAGCTACCATCTCCCTCATTTATGAATCTACAAAGGACATGTGCTCTCATATTCTTCATTGCCCCTGCCGAAAAGACACATTCGACTAATTCTCCCTTAGCTTTTTTTTGTGCTATATACATTATAGCAACTCCACAGTCATAACTGTTTAACAAAAAAAAAGGGGTATGAACTTAAATATTACATTCTATCACCAAGAAACCAACAAATAGGCATAATACAGATGAAATTAACACTTACATGTTAGGAAATTGTTGTAAGCATGATATGTTTGCTTTCAGTGGATACTCAACATTAGTTTGCCTCAGCCACATTAGAAATTCTGTCATCATGGCTAAGCGTGTACAACAACGTATGTACCTTATCTCCTTTCATGATATGTTTGCAAATAGAGTTCTCATTGAGCTTTCTTGAAATACTATCTTTCATGTGCTTAAAGTAGTCAGAAATTTTCACATGCTACAAAAAAAAAAAAAAAAAACACATTACAAAGTTAGTGTGTGAAATAAAATTTGAAGGATAAGAGGTATACTACATAGTTATCAACTTACCAATTTTTTAGCATCTTCGAAATAAGGATCCACATATATATTCAACTTGGTTTGTAATGTGTTGTAATGTTCCCACCATCCACTTTGCTTGTTGAGCACAAGCAAAGTATAATGCATTCCTTTGAAATGGTTAATCGGAAAGAAAACATAGTCGTCTCCCGTACCTTCTTCAATAGAAGTTCAAGATAAATATATATTCTCACTGTACAATTCGATTCATCCACAATATCCTATAAGCCAAAATGGATTAGAAGCACAATAGCCGAAAAGTAATATACCTGCATAACTAATTATGATGTAAAAATCATATTCTACAAGCGCAAGTAGAAAATTCTCTAGATTAATGCTAGAAGATCAAAATAAAAATGGATTACTGTGTTACAGAAGCAGGTAGTTTATAATTACCACATATACTAATAAAAATGGATCAGAAAAAAATAATAAAAATCAACATTTGACAATTACACTACTCATCACTAAAAAACATTGGACAATATTAAACTAGCTAGAATAAAGGAAAATTAACTGCAATGTTTGAAGAACTAAAATTTACGCACCCACGCAAATGTCGGCATAAACCCATATTTCAGCTGATCTTTTGGAATCCGAATTTGATCGTCATTCAAAATTTCAAAAAAAGAATCAACTACCTCATAAAGAACCAAAACATCTTATGAATCATTTGTAAACCTTTCATTCAAATATAATTGTATTCATTGCTATCTAAGTCAAATAATTATAAAAATTACAAATACTTGTCGACTAACACCTCCCTCATTCAAGAGTGCGAGGATATCATCACGGATCACTGCACAATGCTCTCCTTTCCACATTGAAACCCTATATATAGTTCAAACAACATAATCAACAGCTTGATATCTAACAGGTAAAAAAATGTAAAAATAAGGATGAAAAGTTATACACTACCTATCATCATTCAAATCCAGAAATTGTTTCAACTTCTCTGCGTACGGTATTGGAAGACACTTGCCCACTCGTAGCCTACGCACAACTATTGTCTTCATCGGTGCCATTATTTTTGTGTTCCCATATTCATGCATTTGAATTGCTCGTGAACCAACACAATTTTTATCCATATGAACTACCATTTTTTTTATTAACACAAGCATCATACTTGTAATCTGGCATCAACAAGGGCTTCCTTTGTTTTGATTTCACCCGCAAAATCATTGAGTTTTGTTTTGGAGATTTGTCTTTCACTATGTAATTTTCCTTACATTTCAGCTCATCCTTCAGATTCTTGTTTTCAATAGTAAGCTTCATAATTTATGAACAGTAGTCCTCAACCAAAAGACTCATCTCTTGTAATTTTCTCTCCAAGTCATTAAGGTCCGCTTTACTGTTGGAAGACTTTCCCAAGTTGTTTTCCAAAAATTCTGATGGCAGTATATCAAACATTGAGAGAAATTCTTCATCTGACACTTTATGAGGCTCCACATTTATCCCCCCACCATGTGAACGCAGTTGTATGATTTTCTTCTCTGTTTCAGGTGTTTTTGGACTGCCCCCACCTACCTGTACAACTTCCTGTTACATAAACACACCATGTTTAATTTTATTAAAGTACATAAGACTTTAGTTACATAATCTGTTCAAAAAATAACATACCTACTCCAACATGGATTAGAAGCACAATAGCTCAATAATGAATTCGATTAGAATGGGAAATCCAAAAACGAACCAAATCATAGTCTAGCTCACTCATGGATTAGATTAAAATGGGAAATCCAAAAACGAGCCAAAACATATTAGAATAGAAGCACAGTAGCCAAAAAGTGGTATACTTGCACAACTAATTATGATGTAAAAATCACATTCTACAACTAATTATCATGTGAAAGTCATATTCTACAATGGTAGGTAGTTTATATATGTGTTGGATAAACATACCTCCAACTCATGGATCTTCATAATTTCCATCTTTGCATACAATTCCGACAAATTCCACTTAACAACCTTAAGAGGCATATTTTCCCTTCCTCTGATTGGATTGATCAAATGAGTACGCTCACAAAACCAGAATTGCATCAGTAAGATATTAATATGTTATTTCATTTGAACACAGATAGAATAAAATGAAATAAAATGTAGATTAACATACCAATAATCCAATTACACAATCAGTTACACTTTCGTAATGTTCTCCCATATTATCAATTGTGCCCAACAACCAATTTTTTACTGCTACATCGCACGCATTATCCTTCATCTTGGTAATATCCTCAACGTACCCAACCATGTACAGACTAGTATTATTTCCATTCGTACTGAAAAACAGTGTCAAGCAAAAATATAAATGAACCAGTCGCACAAATCACCCTCATGCACACTACCATGCATCTTAACCACTCTCAAAATCCTTTCT